GCCTCTTGGGCCTCTACCCAGAGACTCCTCTGCCACAACACTTTGCCTCGGTGGCTTTCCTTAGCCTTGGAGGAATATTTTACACCCCCTCTACTCCTATATCCTTCTTGACTCTAAAACCAGAACCGAACCATGAGACTGATGCTGCCAAGTTATCTGCTTGTTTGGGATAAAACTTGGCCCCTTCCTTGAATTACACTGGCATAAGAGTTAATCTGTTGATGCTTCCCTTTGTTATATAAACTTCCTTTTGCTTAGGAGAAGATTCCTTAGGCATTTCCTTTTCTTAAATTGGAAGCTTAGCTTAGGTGAGGTCTTACCCTGAGGGCACCACTCCCTTATTTCTTCTCATCTCTTCCAGCACAAACCAGGGTTCTAACATTAAATTTCCTAGTGTTCTTTTTCTCTTCAAATGGCACAGTTTGTATTTCTTTTCACCCCATTTGCTCTTTTTCATTGTAGATCTGCATAAGAGTAATCACTAATAACCAGATGACACAGTGAATATTAGAATGTCTTGAAATGTCCTCTGCCAGTGATATTAGTCCATATCTCTTCAGTTTAGCCTCCAACATTTTTTTTGACAAGGGCAGGAAAAAAAGTGATGTTTTTACCAAAAGTCACAAGAATGGTCTCTACCCTAGCTGCTAATATTGTTCTCTCCTGACGCATCTTAAGCTGGAAGTTTTACATTGCTCTCCCCACTACTGTCTTCCAAGTTCTTATTAAGAAAGCTGTAAATCCCTATTTATAGCATTCAACCATTTTCCTAAGTCCCAAAGTCCATATTCTTTCAACAACTCACATGATCAGGTCTGTCACAGCAATACATCACTCCCTGGTACCAACTTCTGTCTTAGTTACTGTTCTATTGCTATGAAGAGAACCCATGTCCAAGGCTACACTTACAAAAGAAAACATTTAATTGGTGGCTTGCTTACAATTTGAGGGTGAGTTCATGACCACATGGCAGTGAGCAGGCATGGTGTTAGAAGCAGTAGCAGAAAGCTTATATTTGATCCACAAGCAGGAGGTCGGGGCAGGGGTGGGGGAGAGCAGTGAAGGGAGAGAGAGCAGGAGGGATTGAGGGAGGAAGAGATGGAGGGCAGGTGTGTATCTTGTCCTGATGTGGGCTTTTAAACCTCAAATCCCATCCCTAGTAACATACTCCTCCAACAAGGCCACACCTCCTAATTCTTCCCAAAACAAGCCTGCCAACTTAGAACCAAGCATTCAAACATATAACCTAAGGGTACCATTCTTCAAATCAGCAAAGATAGTATTTAGAGCCATCACTTATAGAGCTATAAAATGTCTTATGAAATCTATGCCATAAGGTATTAGGATATGTATGCTACATGTGATTTCCCACTGAAACTCAAATTCTTTTGTTTGTATATATGTGTGTACATGTTCAAGTATGTACATACAGGTACATGTACATTTGTGGGTATATGCATGTGAAGGTCAGAGGGACAACCTTGCCTGTCATTCCCCAGTGTCTCACTAAACTGGAACTCACCAATTAGGCTAGGCAGGCTAGCCAGCAAGTCCCAGGGATGACTTGTTTTCATCTCCCAGGGCTAAGGCCATGTGTGCCCCTTCAACCAGCTTTTATAATGTGTGATTTCTTGGTACCAAGCTCTCATTCTCATGCTTGTAAGGATCTTTAAATAAACCACTTGAGCTATCTCCCTCACCCTCAAATTCTTTTCGAACACACACCTCTTTTTCTTTTTTTATGGACTGCTCTTATAACAGTGGTTCTAGCTTTTGATATAATAATCACCCAAGAAGGAATTAAAAGGCAAAGCCCAAGGATTCTAAATTTGGATGATGCCCATGAAGATCATCTTAACAGGTGCAATAGATGATTCTGATCAATGTGTTGTAAAGAACATACTAAATAAAAGCACCACCCTAGAGCATACTGCCTCCCTGTTCTGGAGACAAGCCCCTTAAATGGTACTTGAAGGTAGCTCTAGACTTCAATTCTGGTCTGTCTTATTGCCCATGGTAGATTATATTGTCTTTGCTTCCTATATAAATATGCTGTTTGTTTTCTTCTCACTGAAACCTTATAGGACAGACAAGGAACTGTTTTTATATTATATGAACCTCTGAAGAGATACAAGTTGGGCATGTTGTAAGTACGAAGTATGTCTATGATATGTAATAAGCTAAAAATGTCTATAACATCTACAAGATTGGTACTTCTCTTGAGTTTTAATCAGCATGCTGATTTATCATGTTTTATTTCGATCTTCCAGCACAAAGTGTCAGGCTCCTAAATATAGTTATTCCAATTATCAGGTAGGAGTCTATGCTTAAAATAAACTCATACACATACAAGGCTCAAATATTATTGATAGGGGCCAGCTCAGATGGCCCAATTGTGAAGAGCTAGATGTCACTCTGGGATAATTAGAAAAGTTCTCTGGTGACCTGGGCAGATGTTCTTCCAAAGTAGGTCTGGGGCCAGTTTGGTTCAGATGCAGTCTTCTCAGGGAATGTGTATGCTGAGCAGAGTGCTGATAATAGTCATTCACCCCTATTGTTGCTTTTACATCCATGGATGTGCTGTTTCTTCCCCTTTGGAGCTAGAATGTGGCTACAGTTTAACCTACTGCTGTGATACCAGAAATGAGACCTCTATCTGTATCATCTACACAAACATGTGTTCATTTAATCTGTCCAGGTATTTACATGAAAAGAATAACAGGGAGTAAGAAAGGAGCTCCCTTCTACTTCCCAGTGATATCCTATCCCTCAGCTCCCTCCTTGCTCTGAGCTCCTAGCCTAGATGTTTACACTCTTCAGATGTGCCATTGTGATGCTAGGGCAGTAGCAAGACCAAAGCAAAAGGCAACAAAAGCAACTGGGACTAGGCGAACAAAGCAGCCAACTGGATTTAGTGTTGGCAATCTAATAAAAAATTAAGTATTTTCCAGGAGTCTAATTAGAGGGGAAAGATGCAAGCTCCAAGTACATTTTTAAGCTCAGGAACTCAAGTGAAAGCATGTGTTCATTTCAAGAACTAGAAATCAAAATACAGATATGTGGACTCTTACTGCCCACCAGTTGGCATAAAAGATGAACTACTAAGAACAAGCTGCCCTAGGGCTGCAACTAGATAAACCGTCATGCACATGGAATGAGGTGGAGGAGCCAGGCAGGGGAGCCAAATCCAGATCTAGGACTCGGGTGAATAGAGCAGGTTATCTGCAGCAACAAACTTGCACCACTAGCAAACTTTCAACTGCAAAGAGTAGACAGACAGCCTGAAAGTCATGAAGAGGGAACCTGACCATAGGATCTTTAAAAAATTACACTTCGGGAAATGCATATCAGTAGGGAGCTCGCATGAAGAAAGCTTGTCAGCAAGTAGCGGGGCCCAGTGACAGGAGCAGGATCTGTGTCCCAAAACTGACAGAGTGTCATAGGGAAGTATTAATAGGGCCTAGGCAAAGCTCTGGCATATGGGACACAGGAAGATTTATGCAGGTGGGTCCCTAGGCTACAAGTACCAGGCAAGAGGAAAACCACTACAGAATTTAAGAGCTATATGGGACTTTCATGAACAAGCTCCCAGTCATCAAGCTGACCTATCAGCAAGGTAGATTTGATACTGAGGCCCACAGAATAATCATACTGGAAGCCAAGTGGAACTACCCACCTGTCCCTACACCTTCACCCGTGTCCCAGCTTCAGCAGCAGAAATGGTCCTATCAGCGTACTTCCTAGGAAGTCATTGCTATTCACACATTCTACAGAAAGAGCACCACTGAAATGGTCATAGGTTCTACTGCCTTTCCTACCATGCTGTATGCCCTCATTTCCTCATCCCTTACTGCAATCATGAACTAGAGAAGACTAGGGCCTCCCAAGGGCTAGAATTAAAGGCGTGCAGCACCACTAGCAGCTTATTTATTTTCTTAGTCAGAGATACTAATGGTTGTCCATCGAAGGGGTGGGCTTGTCCTTGGATTTGGGGAATGTAACTCAAAAACCTCAGACTCACTGATTTAGTCCAAGTCATTCATTGTAGAAAAAGGAAATGAAGAATCAGAGTTAAGTAGCTTCCACAAAGTTAGCCGGTGGCAAGACAAAAAAAAAAAAAAGCACAAAAAACAAATGAACAAAAACTGAACTCCATTTTTAGGAACCAGGAAGCTTTGTAGAAGTCATCAGTTTTGTCTTCATTCTTGCAGCTAACTTAAGGGGCATCTCCCTTCTTTTTAATGTTATCTCCCTTAAGAAGTGATGTTTATTCAAAATTAATCCACTCATGCTAGACATCTTGACGTTAATCCAGTACATGGCAGGCAGATCTTTGTGAGTTCTAGTTCATCCAGAACTACATAATGTGACCTTATCTAAAATAATAATAACACCAACCCAATACCTAACATTTTTTGCTTTTCCCTTTGATAAGGTTTTAACAAAAATAGAAAGTTTTCTGGATTTTTTTCATGTTAATAATCTACTCATTTGACATGTTCTCTGGATACAGTATAATTGGTAGACAGTAACAGTAGCTGTTCATGAATGGAGACGTGTCTTTGAGCACAAGTTACTCTTAAGTAGCAGAAAATACTTGTTCACATAAAATTGAAAATGAAACTCAGACAAGCCTCTGGAAACCAGAGATGCAAATGTCTCCACAGATGAGAAAATTGTTGGACACGAATGACACTTAGCAAGGATGCTTTTCAGAATCAGCACTGCTCTCCTAGTTTAGGAGTGCCTTTTTCTAGAAACGACTGAGCCTATTGCTATATTCTGCTAAGTTGATTAATAAAAAATATTTATTACACAAATCCTTTCTGTTGACAAGTTAAAATGGAGTCTCATCTTTCATATCTCCCTGAAGATTGCCACCTTGTGAGATTGAAAATACTCATTAAATTCCATCAGCAGCGTACAGATGAGAGGGCGATTGTTTGTAAGCATGTGAGGAGAATCACTGGTAAACTCATTTGTTTGGATATCATTAACAGAACAATCGGTGTGGATCTCCAGGGGGTCCTCATGACCTTTGCTCGCAATCTCTTCATCATCCATCAAGAAATATCAGCACCTAATATGCAAGGCGAGACCAATTTTAAGGTGAGGTGTTAATTAACTAACGATCCTGGTTAATTTCTATACAAGGGCTGAAAATACCTCATGCTGTATTGTAAACAAGTGCTAAACCATCTTTTTTTTTCTTCTTGTAAGCAGTACACATTTTACAATGAACAGGGTCAATTTTGTAAGGTTCCCATTGAACCCGTTAGTTAAATTTAATAGTTTGAAACTTTTTCTTTGAAATATAGTAGACTTGCTTTAACTCCCTGCCATTTTGAGAGCCAGGCTCATAAGACAACACAGCTCTCTGATATTGGAGGTGAAGCTGAGACATCACAATGGAACCAAAATCAAGACTGTAACTAATTTATGATGTACCTATCTGTACTACACGTACATGTCTAGCTGAAGTGATTCCTGGGGAGCCTAGTTTATAAAGCCAGGTAAATACTCAGACCCAAGAAGAACAGTGTTTGTTAAAGAGAAGCAGAAGAAAAATTCAAGCACCTGCGTGGGCCATCCACCCACTCCATTTCTCCAAAGTGAGGTGGACCTTCACTACTAACATTTTTAAACCTCCATATGGACTCTAAAGATCCAAAGTCTCTTCCAAGTTCTAGGATGCAGGAGACAACTCCTGAAAAGAGCTGATGGTGTGGTCCTGATAAGCAAGTTTCTAATCTGACTCCCAGACTAGGCCTTAGCAGTACTTGAGTACAGCTAAGATCACATAATTCTAAGGAATCAAATGGAAATGTCATTTTTCTATTAAAGAGAAAACTCAAGCTTCATATAAAAGATTAATCTCTTTTTTAAAACTCAAGCTAGGGTTTAACCCCTTTAATAACAATGTTTCACTCTTCAAAGTGATTTAAGACCTAAGAGACTGACCATTGGTTTTCGTACATCATGACTGAAAAGATTTTAAAAATAAACTAATAAAATAACGATAATTTTACTTTATCTGAAATGAACAAGTTAGACTAAACTGGAGCTTCTCAGCATTTTGTGCTGCAGTCATATAGTCCAAGGACACCCCTTCTAGCTGCTGATCACTAGTATCCGCCCCCCCTTTTTTTTTTAAAAAAACCAAGTAATAGTCAAAGTCAACTTGAACTTTAGAGTCAGTAATTTTTGAAAAGTAATTTGTGTTTCATTTCTAGAGTTCATGCTAGATTCTTGGTTCTTCCTAAGAACAGATTCCTGGGCTCTACCCAAATTAACAAAATCAGAATCTTTGGTTTGGAGTAGTGAGGCCCAAGAATGTGTCTCTCCACAAAGGCTCGCCGCTGCATCACTATTTGCAGTTACCAAGGGATCTGCAATGGTTTGGATACAGTTTGAGTGTGGTTCCTGTGCTGGAAGCTTGGTCTCCAGTTTCCCAGTGATATGATATGAGAGGTGGTGGAACTTTAAGAGATGAAGCTAGTGGGGAATTCATTGACTAAATCTCATTTGGAAGAGACTAAAATAATTCTCATAGAATACTATTTCGTTCTTGCAAGAAAACAAGATTGGCCTCTTCTCAATTTCTGGGCTTCCTGACTCACCACGAGATTTCTTCCTGTTGAGTATAGTGCCATCTGCTATGAGGTGATATAGCTAAGGGGTCAGAGGCTGTATGGATAGTAATACCCAATCTTGGACTGCCAGCCTCCAAAGTTGTGAGCTAAGGAGACTGCATATATAAGTATGTATAATAGGAGGAAATAGGAATAACAAAAATAAACCCATACTGTATAACCAATTGATTTCTAAAAAGGCAGTAAAATAATTCAGTGGAAGAAAAAATAAAAATAATCTTTTTAATATAAAATGTTGAAACAAAAAACCTACAAGTAATAAGGTTGGACTTCTCCAAAGTACCCTTTCCAAAAGTACATAAGATGGATCAACAGCCAAAATATAAGAGTTAAAACTATCAAATGCATAGGAGGAAACACAAGTATAAGACTTCATGACTTTGGATTAACCATAATTTATTAGCTGTGATGCCTAAAGCAAAAGTGATCAAAGTAAAAACAAATTATTTGGATTTTACCAAATAAAACATAGAATATGTTAAAACATTTGCAAAGTATATATTTGAGAAGCCTATAGTACCCAGGGTTTATAAAAATGGCTTTATAACACAATAATAGAAATGCAAATAATCCAGTTAAAATGCAAGCAAAGAATTTGAATAGATATGTCTTCAAAGTAGATATACAAACGGCCAATGTCTGAATAAATGTTAAACGTCGTAAGTCACTAATGAAATGCAAACCAAGACCATACCTAGTTAAAATGGCTACAATCAAAAAGAAAGGAGATAACACACATTTGCAAAGACTTGGGGGAAATGGAAACTGGAACCTTCACATATTATTGTAAAAGAGTTTGGTAACTCCTTAATAAATTAAATATAAAATTAACATATGACCCAATAATTCTAGTCTTAGATATAAACACCAAATTATCAAAAATATATATTTGTACATTAAGGTTCACTGAAGCATGATTCATAATAACTAAAAAGAATAAATAACCCAAATGTATGTCAGTGAGAAAATAGTAAATTCTATTATAGTTTATAAATAATATTCATATAATTGGAATACTGTGAAATATTGTTCAGCCATAAAAGGAGTGATATGTTGACAGTACATACACCACAACATGGATGAATGTTGAAGATGTTGTGCTAAGTGAAAGAAACCAATCACAGAAAGGTAAGTCCTGTATGAAGTGAGCATAGATAGGAGGTGGGCCAGTGGTTGTCAGAGCTGGGGAAAGGGAAGAAAGAGAGACAAGTGCTAATGGGTACAAGGTTCCAATATGGGATAATAAAGACGCTATGAAATTACACATATTTGCCTACTGAATTCTATACTATAAAGAAATGTCTCATAAAATATGTAAACAATTCCTTAATACACATAAAGGAAAACAGGGGTGTCAGTTTTGTTCCCAGAAAACAATGAAAATAATCTTTCAACCTACTAGCCTGCTTTTTAAAGTGTCTTAGACTGTTATTTTTCTAATTTTTTCTGACCTATCATAGATTAATGTTTTTATCTGGTATACCAAGTTGACTAGAAGAATGAAATAAAAAGAAAACTGAAGATGTGCAGAATAAAACCTAATTTTTCACTGTTAGATTTAATGGATATAAAAATTCTAGAATATAAAATTTTGAGTTCTATCTCTTCTTTGTTTCTTTTGTTTTGTTTTTCAAGACAGGGTTTTTCTGTGTTACCCTGGATGTCCTGGAGCTCACTCTGCAGACCAAGATGGTCTCTAGCTCATAGAGATCCACCTGCCTCTGCTTCCCAAGTGCTAGGATTAAAGGCATGTGCCACCACCGCCTGGCTTCTAGCTCATTTTTTTAAATTCACACAATCAAGTCTAATAACCAGTAATGTGTGGATGGATGCCAGTGTGTGGAATACATTTTGAGTAGAAGGGATAAAAACTTGAGGAGTGGATATTATAAGAAATCTTTAAAGTAATAAATTTTTTTTGCTGTTATTCACAGACTACCATTGATGATATTGAAACCATTTTAGGAGTAACAGAGGAAAATAAAATGAGATTTGAAGGAGAAAAACAGCCCAAAGACAAGGAAGATAGCCTGTATGAGCCTGTTGAGATACACTCATCACCATGACTGGATGCCTGTCTAGAGAAAGAAAGAAGGAACAGTATTTCCTTTGATATTGGTATAAAGGTGGAGAAGTTAGTTTCTTTTATTTGCCAAGAGGGAAGTCAGAAAAGATTGTAATGTAATAGTCTTTAAAATCTTATTATGTGATGTCATTTATTCATTAAACAAACCTACTGGTGTTTCCACTTGTGAGTGCTAAGTAAACCCTTCCTCCTCCCAAAGTAATCAAACAGCGGCCTCAGAAAAGAAAAGGAGAAGGAAGCCTTTAGCTCACTCCTACACCTACTTCTCCACGATGTCAGTACTGTGACACTCTTATTCTTTCAGGAGTCACTTAGTTTCTGTATTTAAAACAATGAATAAATCTGAGCTCTCACTACTTGTCAAGACATAAATGTTTTCTACCCTGCTCCCCAAAAAAATTAAATCAGTTTTCAAATGATTCTTTATCATGCACTGTTTACATTGTACCAAGTACTTACTTGTTCTCGATTTCAGAGTAAGAAAAGCCGACATGAAGTTAACCACGGCATCGGAATGTGTCTAGGTGGCAGTATCTGCTCTTGGTTTAAAATGGTGTAACTAGAGCCCCTAGCTTGAATGAAAATCCCTCTTGCAAGCTTTCTGCATGACACAACATTAGGATTTTTACAAGCTGAATTCAAGTGTACCTTTTAAGGGGAAATGGCTGAAGTTCAGCAGTGCTGCCATGAACACTCAGCATTTGCTTCATAATTGTCTAAAAACATTTCTACATCTTCCAGCTTTCCTGAAGGGTAAAATAGGCAAGGTGCAGTACCAAAGTCACATACAGTTTTAAAGAACAGTCTTGACATCTATAAAAACATATAGACTTGGGAAAGGAGAGGTATGTTTCACCCATGGAATTACAATCATTTTAAACATGTGCTTCAGCCACAGGCTAAGAGATTCTGCAATAAAATTAACATTTCTCCATGTGTCTGCTTTTGTTTAGCCATCATAGGAAATATATTAATTAGCCAGGTTTCTTGTCTGTGCTAGGTACAGTGATGACCTCTTTTTCTTGCCAGATCTCTCTAATCCATACGAGGGGCCTATTGTCCAGACACTTGACGGATAGGAAGTGCTACATGCCCATTAGAGTCGCTCTTATATCGAAGCCAGAGCAACATAAGGTCCAGGAGACTCATTAGTTCACTGGCACAATCAAGTCCTGAGAGTAAATGAAACCCTCTGTCTCCTTATGGCTCTCATCTGCTCTGGACTTTAAAAGAAAACTGTCTCCGTTTTGTTCAGCACAGCAGTGGATCGTTCACATGGTTAAAGCCCTCCTCACAAAACCATTAAAGCCATAGGGAAGTTCCGAGTGTGGACTGTGATTAGCAC